CCTGTCTAAATGGTTCCACCTCTGGAAATTTTCATTTTCTGGATGCATATCCCTTTTAGGGTCCTTCTCTCTGCTCTTCCTCCCCTTTCCTCCTTTTTCCTCTTCCTTCCTCCATCCCCCATTTTTATTTTTGTTCCCTTCTTTCAGATCTTCTCCTCTCCCTGTTTTTTCCTTATTAATCAGAATAATACCAGTTGATGCTTGCTGAGAGCTGACTGTGTGCTCTGTGCTTTGCATACAGTCATATATGTTTTTCCAGCTCCATGAGTTAGTTCCTAACCCCATTTCTCAGGGCCGCACAGCTAGTAAGTGAAGCCAGGTCTCACATGGCAAAGCCTCTGCTTCCTCCATTAGATGGCTTCTCCCCCCATTTTTCTCTCCCACTCTCTGTTTCCCTCTTTCCTGCTCTGTCTCTGTCTCTCCTTCGGCTCGACCGAGGGGGTGATTCTCAGCCTGGGCCCTTGCAGATGTGTCTGTGGCAGCAGGCCACACAGACCGTAGTGGGCTGGGCAGCGTCCTGAGAGACCTAGTGAAGCCAGGCGACGAGAACCTTCGGGAGATGAACAAGAAGTTACAGAACATGCTGGAGGAACAGCTCACCAAGAATATGCACTTGCACAAGGCAAGTGTGGCCTACCAGTCTACCCCTTTGTCTCTCTAGCCACATAGCCCCTGGGTCATCTGTCAGTCCCCTCTCCACACACCTCATTCACCAAGCACTCCTTCCCCCTCATCTTCCCATCCTCCAGTCAACCTACTCACTATCAGTTTAGTCTTTCACTCTTCCCTCTGTCCTTGCACCCACCCACTCATCCATTCATACACACATTCAGCCACTCTCCCATCAACCCACCTGCTACTTGTCCATCTGCCCATGCCTTTGCATCCATCACCTTTTTTTTTTTTTTTTTAATATTTGGCTGCACCGGGTCTTTGCGGCACGTGGGATCTTTAGTTGCAGCATGCAGGATCTAGTTCCCTGACCAGGGATCGAACCCGGGCCCCATTCATTGGGAGCGTGGAGTCTTAACCACTGGACCACCAGGGAAGTCCCCTGCACCCATTTCCTGATGCATCACTTTCTCTTACCTACTCATCAGTCACCCCTTGTCTTACCTTTTACCCACGCGCCCAGCGACCTGCTTGCCTACCTGTTGTCCTCCATCTGTCCTCTGAACAGTTCATTTTTCCACCTATTTGCCTACCATGGATCTCCCATGCATCCACCCACGTGTCCACGCACCCATCCTGCCACCCAAGTATTTCCCCATCTCTGGGGGAAGTCAGAAAGGATGCAAGTCCGGCCCCTGCCTCTGAGAAGCAAGCTCACCATTTAGAGACAAGAAGGTGGCAGGGGTAGGGGTCATGTCCTCCAGCCTCACCACACAGAGCAGATGATCCACTCCCATGTCCATATCCCTAGCTCCAGGCACTCCTCACCCCCTCACACACACCACACACACCCTTTCCGAGCCCAGCCCACTACTGGGAGCTCTCGGAGCTGCTCCAAATACCTTCCTGTCTCAGGCTAGACATAGCTGGGCATTGATGGGATGAGAAGGATGACACCCAGTCTTGATGAGGGTGCCATCGCCTGCCACCTTCTCTGACTCCTGATGGCTCATTTGTTTCTTAGGACATGGAAGTTCTGTCCCAGGAAATTGTGCGGCTCAGCAAGGAGTGCGTGGGGTCCCCGGACCCAGACCTAGAGCCGGGAGAAGCCAGCTAAAGACCTGCAGGCTGCACCCACTCCCTCCCTTCCCCACCCGCCATTCCCTTGGGCTGTGGTGGGAAAATGGGGGCCAGCGCCAAAATCAGATAGGTTGGGAGACTGGACATTAAAGGGGTTGGAGGCCTGATGGCTGGCGTTAGTGACCCTGTCTTAGGGCCGAGGCCCCTGGGGAGTGGGGAATCCTGAGGGGAGGGACAGGGATTCTCCTCCTTCTTGGCCCTGGCTCCCAGGGGCCTTTGCCTTCATCTCTGCATGAGCTCTCCCTCCCAGAGACCAACTCTTTTTTTATTTTATTTTATTTTTTAATTTATGTCTGGAAGCCTGGCTACTCTGCATTTGGGATTGGGGATGCTGGGTGGGGCACAGTCCATGTTCAGCGTTCTAGCAACATGTGTGTGTGTGTGTAAAAGCTGTGCAGCCAAAATACCATCTGGCCAGACTGGCCCACCCACTGACTGTCTGCTCTGATTCTTTCCAACCATGAGGGATGTGCTGGGGGTGGGGAGGTTATACCATTGGAACTGGGAGGGTGGTCTCTGGCTGCAACTTAATCTCCTTCCCCCACCCTCACCCAGCCTGTCTCCGGTTACTGTTGACCAGCCTATCAAACTGAATGGAGCAGAAATATCTGCAGATATGTATGTGGGTGAATGTGTATGGGGTGTGGGTATGGATGAGTAGATAGATGGGAGGATGGATAAGTGGTTGGATGGATTGATTGATAAATAAGTAGAAGGTTGCATGGATTGGTGATGGATAGGTTAGGAAATAAATGGATAGGTGACTGGATGAATAAATGGACAAATGGATTGCTAGGTGGATAGGTAGAGGATGGATAGGTGGGGGTATAAATGGACAGATGGATGGCTAGGGGAATGTGTGGATGGATGAGTGGGCAGATGGATGAGCTAATGGGAAGAGTAAAGAGTAGGTGAATAAATGATAGAGCAATGGATAGATGGACAGATAGTTGGGTGGTGGGGGATCCACATGGGTAGGGGTAGATGGGGTGAATATACAAATGGATGAGTGAATAGGTAGGTGGAGTAATGACTAAATGGACAGGTGGGTGACTAGAGGGAAGGACAGAGTAATTGGCTGTGTGAGGGGGAGAATGGATGGATAAGTGGGTGGTGGGTGGGAGGAGGGATGGACAAATGGACAAATCAGGAGTGTGATGAGCAAATGGAGGATTACATGGATGGATAAGTCCACTGAAAGGCAAAAATTGGCCCTGCATTACTGCTCCCCCATTATCACACACCTTTAATTGTTAAAGGTAAGGCATCCTCTGTGTGCCATGCCCCTTTCACATCACTCCATTTATTGCTCCCAAAGACACTATCAAGCTGGGGTAACTCTCCATCCGACAAAGAGAAAAACAATGCAGGTCACTTGCTCAAGGACATAAGTCAGTGGCACAGCTGGGGCTTGAACCCACCCATGCCTGAGGCACTTGGTACCCAGTGTTCTTGCTACCCAGGAGCAGAGCCCTCTAGCGGAGGAGGCATGATTTGAGGCTCCTGGATGTGGACAGATGATGGACACTGCACCTCAGAGTGGGGCCTGCCTGGGGGAGAACCTGCTATGGAGGTGGGACCTGGCTTGTCCCCATCTGTACTCCTCTTACCGCCCCCCCGACGTTTCACATCCGCAAACAAGACAGTGCTCCAGTCCCACGGCAGCAATCTTGGTTAGAGCAGGACTCTAACCCCTCCAGCACCACTAGGGAGCAGCTTTGGGGGCCTGGCCTCTAGAAAAACACCCCCCCCACCAGTTTTCCCCCACCCCCCCTTCTCCAGCCTAGGGGGCAGGGAGGGGACACAGCGCTGCATCATTCCCCGTGGCACTCCCCGCTCTGGGGCCATTAACAGACGCCTCCCCATCGATCGGATCTGCTAAGTGCTGCTGATTCAGACGGGTTGGGGTGGGGGCCCCTGGGGGCAGAGGGGGTAGGATCTGGGCAGGAAGAGGGGGGAGTCCAGGAAGGAGGTGGGGAGAATTGGCAAAGCTCCCTGCCACCCCCATTTTCCAGATGACGCGACTGAGGCCCAACCAGCTTTGTAGGAGGCGGAGTCTCCCCACGGTCCCTCTCAGGCAGTCCTAGGGGAGGGGGCTCTGGGAGCCACGAGGCCCCTCCCTGCCTCTCCATCTCCCGGCAAGCTCAGAGGGGCGGGGAGAGAGAGCCAGAGGAGGTGGAGAACTTGGGCAGCTCTGCAGAGTGGGGCAGGAGCTCCGGTGTTTGGTACCCCCAGCCCCACCGCTGTTGCCGCTGCTGCAGCGGGGACACAGGTGAGGACGGCCCTATGGGGAGGGGGAGGGGGCCACCAACAGTGCTGTCCTTGTCCTTCCCTAGTCCAGCCCCCAGGCCCTAGCCCATCCTGGGACAGTCCTACTGGACCTTGTCCTTCCAGAGCCTCCTTCCAGGGACCCAGCCGCCTCCTCCTGCCTGTGCTGCCTTCTCTCCCAGGCCTGGCTGTGGCTGCTTCTCCTCTTCCTCCTCACGTCCTGCTGCCGCTGCTGCTTCTGCCGCTGCCCAGCACATACCACCAGCCCCTCGGGGTGTGGTTTCCCCAGACCAGCCCCCAACAGTGGGACACAGCCTGATCCCGGCCTTCCTGGGCTCCTGTAAGGCCCAGGAGCCCCCCTCCCTGCAGACACACCCAACTCCCTTTCAACACCCCACCTTGCCCTCTAACCCATTATGAGGGGGACCCCGTCTTCCTCTTATCTTAGTCTTTTTTGATTCTCTGGATGCTCTGGGGCTGTGCCCAACTTCCTTCCAGTTGAGTCCCAGCCCTGAGGGGTTCTCCAGGTCCCTTCCCTACCCCCTGAACTCTTGAGAGGGTGGACCAGGCTTTCTCAGCCCCCCTGGATACCCTTCTCTACCAGACACCTCTCAGCCTCTGAAAAATAACCTGGCCCCATATCTAACCCTTTAGATACCCCACCCCCTTCTCCAGCCCTGCTAGGGGGCCCCACCTCTCCTTCCTTCCCCAGAACTCCTGTAGAGTGTGGACACCCCACCCCCAGGCTATTCTTGGCAGCTCTAGGCACTCCCAAGACACCTCTCAGCCTCTTTACAAACTCTCTGTAGCCACCCCTTAGATGCACCAACCCCTTTCCTAGATCCACGAAGGGGCTCCAACCCCCTTATCTTCTCCCCAGAAGTCTTGAGAGTTTGGACAACCCTCCTCACCTCTCTCAGTTCCTTCAGAATCCCCCTCCAGACACTCTCAGCCTCTTGCAAACACCTCTGGTTCCATTTCTACCCCTCCGGATGCCCCGATCCCCTCTCCAACCCCACTAAGCGGTTCCAGTCCCTTCTTCCTTCCCTCAGAACTCTTGAGAGTGTGGACAACTCCCCGGTGTTTCTTGCTTCATCCTAGACACCCGCAGATACCTCTCAGGCAGTGCTGACCCCTCTAGAATCATCTCAGTCTCTAAACACTCCCTCAGATCCTTTTTGGCACCTCTAGACGCTCCTCTTCTGCTCCTCTCCATGTCCCCTAGCTCCTTCTCACTCCCTCAAGACATCGCCCTGGTCCCTCTTAGACCCTCTACATGTCCCCCAAGCCCTTGCCCATCTCTCTAGGTCCTCCTCCCGGTTCCTCTTGGCCTCTCTAGACACCCCCAGTTTCCTTGTGCGAGTGGCCCAGGGCCTCTCCAAGCCTCCACCATCCTGGAGACAGCCACATTCTCCTAAAGGCCAACCCCCCCCACACACAAGTCTCCGTGGGCCTGGGGTGTGGCAGGATGGCAGCAGGCGTGGCCACATGGCTGCCTTTTGCACGGGCGGCCGCGGTGGGCTGGCTGCCCCTGGCCCAGCAGCCCCTGCCCCCCGCGCCGGGGGTGAAGGCATCTCGAGGGGATGAGGTTCTGGTGGTGAACGTGAGCGGACGGCGCTTTGAGACCTGGAAGAACACGCTCGACCGCTACCCAGACACTCTGCTGGGCAGTTCAGAAAAGGAATTCTTCTATGACGCCGACTCAGGCGAGTACTTCTTTGATCGCGACCCAGACATGTTCCGGCACGTGCTCAACTTCTACCGCACGGGCCGACTGCACTGCCCACGGCAGGAGTGCATCCAGGCCTTTGACGAAGAGCTGGCCTTCTATGGCCTGGTGCCTGAGCTCGTGGGCGACTGCTGCCTCGAAGAGTACCGGGACCGCAAGAAGGAGAACGCCGAGCGCCTGGCGGAGGACGAGGAGGCCGAGCAGGCCGGGGACGGCCCATCCCTGCTGGCTGGCAGCTCCCTGCGGCAGCAGCTCTGGCGGGCCTTCGAGAACCCACACACGAGCACCGCAGCCCTCGTTTTCTACTACGTTACCGGCTTTTTCATCGCTGTGTCGGTCATCGCCAACGTGGTTGAGACCATTCCGTGCCGCGGCCCTGCACGGCGGCCCCCGAGGGAGCAGCCCTGTGGCGAGCGCTTCCCGCTGGCCTTTTTCTGCATGGACACGGCCTGTGTACTCATATTCACAGGTGAATACCTTCTGCGGCTGTTCGCGGCCCCTAGCCGTTGCCGCTTCCTGCGGAGTGTAATGAGCCTCATCGACGTGGTGGCCATCCTGCCCTACTACATCGGGCTCCTCGTGCCCAAGAACGAAGATGTCTCGGGCGCCTTTGTCACCCTGCGGGTGTTCCGGGTGTTCCGTATCTTCAAGTTCTCCAGGCACTCACAGGGCTTGCGGATTCTGGGCTACACACTCAAGAGCTGTGCCTCTGAGCTGGGCTTTCTCCTCTTTTCCCTTACCATGGCCATCATCATCTTCGCCACTGTTATGTTTTATGCCGAGAAGGGCACAAACAAGACCAACTTTACTAGCATCCCCGCGGCCTTCTGGTATACCATTGTCACCATGACCACACTTGGGTGAGTGCAGACCCTGTGTGGGGAGCTGCCCGATCAGTCAATTACACTCACCTTTTCTGTAAAATTAAAAAGGTTAGATAAATGATCTCTCTCTCTCTATTTGAACTTCAATTTGGTCATCTTTAAAAAGTGAGGGAGTTGGATTAATCTCCAAATCCCTCCCAGCTCTGACAATGCCTTAATTTTCAGGTCAGGAGACTTGGGTTCAACGATGGTCTTAGCTGCACTCTTTCTGTTGACCTTGTTTTCTCTGGGCTAGTTTTCCCCTCTGCAAAATAAGAAATGATGATCCCTTCAACATCCAGAGGGGATTCAGTGACATCATGGTTATGAAAGTTATCTGAATGTTTCTGGTGCAGGATAAATAGATATTCGCTTTCTATCACCCCGTTTTCCATCTTGAGGACCCATGTCTCCCAACCCTTTAGATTCATCTGCTGTGTGGGGCACTACCTCTGTGGCTCCGTGATTCCTTGATGTTTCCCCAGAACAAGATATTTTCAGCATCATTTTTTTTTTACTGCCAGTCCTTGAGAGGATATGGGATAAACGCATCAAATGAAATCACCAAACTCATGTTGTTCTTAAAGACATTGTCTAGGGCAGATAACTGTGGTCCTTTTCTAAATTCCTATCACTGGGATTAGGTATGCAGTTGCTGCTCAGTATCTGTTGAACGGATACATTGGGATTACTCAGGACCTTAGTAGTAGAACAGAAGAATTGATTTGAGGTTTCTAAGAAGTAGAAATTAACTCTGGTTGGAGTTTCAGGATTGTATTGACAAATACTGAGCACTGAGAACAGGTTGGAACTGGGTATTCTGATGTCTTTTTATCCTATTCAGTCCTCACAACAACCCTGGGAGGATGTCTCATAGTTGAGGACACAGAGATGATACATCACAGAGCCAGAAATGGCCAAGTTGGAGAGACTTTTAAATGAGTCAAAGTAAAGAAATAAGGAAGAGGCATCCTGGGGGAGGGGGTGGGGGCAAAGGCCTAGAGGCTGAAGACTGCAGAGGCTGCATTTCTTTGGAGGGGATCTGATTGGTCCCGTGGTTAGAACAAGAGTATGCTGTGTGATTTTGAGCAAATCAGTTATGGAACCTTGCTGAGCTTCACTCCCCCCACCCCCAACCAAACAAGTTGGTAAGATTGGCTCTGCTCCACCTCCCTGGGAGGGGGGGTGGTATGGAGGAATGGAGGGAGGAGTTTCAAGGCTCCCCCCCTATTTTTTAATATGAGGACAGTTTCAAGGCTTCCCCTGGGGGAATAAGACGGGGTGCTACCTAGAGAAGGTAAGACAGACACAAGCAAAACCAACAGAGCACTGCTCCCAGGACTCAGAGCCCCTTAGCTGGCTTGTGGTGGTGGGACTCTCTCTCCGGGAGGCTGTATTTACTGCCTCTGACTTCCTCCTTCCCCACTATGCTTGGTATTAATAGATTTCCAGCTGACTCAGATGCCCGGTGCATGGCTTGGATGGGGGCAGCAGACAGTAGGGCCTGAGGGCCCATTTCTCATTTGACCCCCACTGGTGGCCAGAGAGGTCATTCCCCAATTTTTGCAGAGCAAGAAACTGAGACCAGAGAGTTTGAGTGCCTGGCCAGGGTCGCAGAGTGAGTCAAGTTGGATGGGATGCAGTGGGGGACTGAGGGGTGGGTGAGTATTTTTCTTGACCTCGGCTTACCTCCCCTGGCCCCAGCTACGGAGACATGGTGCCCAGCACCATTGCTGGCAAGATTTTTGGATCCATCTGCTCACTCAGTGGCGTCTTGGTCATTGCTCTGCCTGTGCCAGTCATCGTGTCCAACTTTAGCCGCATCTACCACCAGAACCAGCGTGCTGACAAGCGCCGAGCACAGCAGGTAACTGCACCTTCCATCTGAGTACCTCCTATTCCCCACACCCCAAGCCAGTCTACTCTTATGTTTGCCTACCTGACCTTCTATCTCCTCCTCTCTTTGTAGAAGGTGCGCTTGGCAAGGATACGGTTGGCAAAGAGTGGTACCACCAACGCCTTCCTGCAGTACAAGCAGAACGGGGGTCTTGAGGTGGAGAGGGGCCTGGATTGGGGTGGGAGGTGAGCAGTGACGGGAGGAGGAAGGTGCTGACCTCATCCCTCTGCTCTATCCACTCCAGGACAGCAGCAGTGGGGAAGAACAGGCGCTGTGTGTCAGGAACCGTTCTGCTTTTGAGCAGCAACATCACCACTTGCTGCATTGTCTAGAGAAGACAACGGTGAGGCCTAATGAGAGGTGGTGTGGCAGAATGAAGGGGGTCCCTTTGCCATCAAGCCAGCTCCCTCCTGGGATGGGAGGCTCACTACTAATTGTGGAAATCACACAGGGCTTCCCGGAAGAGGCCCCAGTAGAGCTGAGCCTTGAAGGATGGGCAAGGGAAGGGAAGAGAGAGTGACTTACAGAAAGGAAGGAATGGCCTAAGCAAAAGCCTGGGGGTGAGGTCAGCTTGTGGTGCCCTGTGACCATGCCTCCCTTCTGCCCACAGTGCCATGAGTTCACAGATGAGCTAACCTTCAGTGAGGCCCTGGGCGCTGTCTCGCTGGGTGGCCGCACCAGCCGCAGCACTTCCGTGTCCTCCCAGCCAGTGGGGCCTGGCAGCCTGCTATCCTCTTGCTGCCCCCGCAGAACCAAGCGCCGTGCCATCCGCCTTGCCAACTCCACTGCCTCAGTCAGCCGTGGCAGCATGCAGGAGCTGGACACGCTGGCAGGGCTTCAGAGGAGCCCTGCCCCTCAGAGGTAAGCATGCTGACCTGCTGTGCAACCCCTCTCCCGGGGAAGCTCAGAGCTTGGACCAAGGGGTCTGAGATTTCATGACTCCAGGCCTCCTAGCAAGTCAAGCTCAAACCCAAACTCCTCCATGCTGGAAGCTTGGGCTTATCTTGTCTGGAACTCCTCATTTTTCATTTGTACTTTCAATAAACATTTATTGAGCATCTCCTGTATGCTAGGCACAATTTGGGGCATTTTGGAATTCACTTTAGTTTAGGAGTTTAGTTCAATTTTGGCAGTGAATAGAACAGACAGAAATCCTGAGCTTATGGAACTTCTATTCTAGTGAGATGAGACAGTTAAAAAACAAATACACAGATGATGCAGTGTGTTAAGTGCCAAGGAGAAAAATAAATCAGGGGTGGGGGATACAGAGTGTAGAACAGGGTGTGATGCAGTTTTAACAGTGTGGTCAGGGAAGGTTTTGCTGAGGTGACATCTGAGCTGAGATCTGAAGAAGGAGAGGGAATGAGCCAAGTGGATACCTAGAGGGAGAGCTTTCCAGGCAGAGCAAACAGCCTGTGCAAAGGCCCTGAGGCAGGAATAGGTCTTCATGTTAGAGACACAGCCAGGAAGCTTCTGTAAGTAGAGTGGAGTGAGTGAGGGGGAGAGTGGTAGGAGGTAAAATCAGAAAGGAACAGGGACCAGATTGTGTAGATCTTACAGTAGACTGTTGTGAGGACTCTGGCACTGCAAGGAGTAAGCACAATAGATAACACTTTTATGTGTGTGCTCATTATGTTGCAGACACTACTCTGAGCATTTTGTATCATTTATTATCTTATTTAATCTCCACAACATCTCTGTGAGGTAGAAAACATTGTTATTCCCATGCTACAGATGAGAGAAGAGAGGTTTAGAGTGGTTGAGGTGGGATCAGGACTATTTGACTCCAGAGCCCTCACTCTGCACCACCATAATTAAGGGTGCAGGGGAAGCATTTAGCACAGTGCCAGGGACCCAGTAGGCACTCAATAAATGTCATGATTGCCGTGGCAAGTATTAAAATGACTTTTTAAGAACGTTCCATCTTCCCACCCTTATCCACAGCCGCTCAAGCCTCAATGCCAAGCCCCATGACAGCCTTGACTTGAACTGCGACAGCCGGGACTTCGTGGCTGCCATCATCAGTATCCCCACCCCTCCTGCCAACACCCCAGATGAGAGCCAACCTTCCTCCCCTGGCGGTGGTGGCAGTGGGGCCAGCAGCACCCTCAGGAACTCCAGCCTGGGTACCCCTTGCCTCCTTCCCGAGACTGTCAATATCTCTTCCCTATGAGGGATGGGCCTGCCCATCCAAAGCGCTCTCCCAATTCTTGGGGGCTCCCTTCCAAAGCCATATTTTGGGGACGCAGAGAAGGGCAGCCTGGGGACCCCTTCTGCCCCCCACTGAGAACTATGCAATGGAGTTTCATGGAGTGGCCCACCTGGTGGGGAAATAGCCAGGGAAGGGGAAACTTCCCCTACCCCAGACAGTTTTCCCTGTGGGAGCTGAAGCACTGGGCTTCCTCAGGCCCCCAGCCTCCTTGCCCCAGCACACTGGGACTGGCCCCTCTACCCAAGTGGGCCTCCTGCATGCTCCTCCCCTCAGAAGTTCTGGCCCAAGAAGAAGAGGTGAAACTTCCTCTTCTCTCTGGCTGAGCTGTGGAGGTTTGGGGGTTCATAGAAGAGAACCCTCACTTCTGATCTGGACTGTAGAAGTCCCCACCCTCCACCGGGCCCAACAACTCTCAAATTCCAAAGCTTGGAATGAACCACAGGCTTCATGGGCTGTGGCCTCAGCAGTGACCTTCGTTCAGGGGTCAGGCTGCCTTTCCCAACACACACAGATAGCACAACCACCCCCCTTCCCTGGCTGCTGGAAATGGGTCCCCGCAACCCCGTCCTCCACTGGGCGCCCAGCAAACTCTAGCAATAGCAGCTGCTGCCGTGACATTATGCAAAGCCTCTGCCCAGTTTGCTGCAATATTTACATCTGCCCTAATCATAGGGGCCACCTCTAACTACTCCTCCTTCTCTCTTCTCTGGCTTGCTTCCTTCCTGGGTTGGGCTGGAGTCTGGACTGGCTGAGATAAAAGCCTGGCAGCTGGCGAGAGCTGAGCTGTGTTTGGAGATCATGGGCTGATTCCATGTTCTTGGGCAGGAGTCCAGAAGTGGCAGGGGCTGAGGCCTGGGTTGTTCCTGAGCTCTGGGAGCTGGAGGAGGCAGGAGGAACTTCTTGATCTCCTCCTCCTCCCCCACAATGCCTTTTCATATATCCCTCTCTCTTCTCCCTCTTCGGTCACCTTCAGGAACTCTCTGTCTGCTCTCAGGCTGAAATCTGGCATCATCTCAGGTTCCCTGTCCCCAGCACTGTCCCTGTGGAGCTGGTGGCTGACAAAGATGTAGTTTCCATCAGTCAATAAAACCTGAGAGGAGAGACAAGGATGAGCACCTCCTGGCTCTGTGGGTTTGGGGGCTGGGTTGGGCTGGAGGGGTTGAAAATACTCCAATTTCAATTCCTTTTAACTAGTAGAAGGGCTGTTAGGGGAAAGGTATGGGAGGTGGATGGTTGCTGGTGTGTTTTGGAAGATGGGGATCTAGGAGAAATGAAAGAGGGTGGTTGAAGAGGTGAATCTGCAGCCAGTGAGGTAGGCTAGGAGGTCCTGAGACATGCCCCATGGACATAATCTGCTCTAGCCCCCTCACTCACAGATGGGGAAACTGAGACCCAAAGCAGCACACGCTTGGTTAGAGGAGACTTGAACCCAGGCTTCCTGACAGCAAACAGCTCTGAACTGAACCCTGATGAAAAGCATCTCTCAGTATGGCGAATTCCCCTTCCCTGTGGATGTCCCCTACCTGTATTCTTTCTTCTGGACTACTGGATATACTAGACTAGTGTAACTGAGCTCTGTGGAGCACAGAGAAGACAGACCTTGGATTCAGGTTGACCTGGATTCCAGTCCCTGGGTGAGAGAATCACTTATCTTCTCTTGCCTCAGGTTGCTAACCTGTGAAATAATCATTCATCCATTCACCAAATATTTATTAACTGCATATCATGCGCTAGCCCTAGGGGTACAAAAATGGGCAAAGCAGACATCATCTCTGATCTACAGAGGTGAGCATGGAAGGCAATTAAGCAATTACAATATAGTGTAGTAGAACCAAGATTAGTGGATTACAGAAGCATATAGATGGCAAGAGAACCTAACCTGGCCGAACAATGAGTTGAAGTTAGCCAGGCAAAAGACAAAAGAGTGAAAATGTTTTAGGCAGAGGGAACAGCGTGTGCAATGGCCTGGAGGTTAGAGCGCCAGCTCAGGGCCTTGGGAAACTGAAGGGGTTCAGCACAGCTAGTGAGGAGAGTGTGAGACTGTGACGAGGGTGAGGATGTAGAAGTAGGCCAGATCACAAAAGGCCTTTGAAGCTATGATACAGATGTGGACTTCATCCTAAGGATAATGGGGACCTCTGAAGGCTTATAAACAGGAAAGTCATCGCTAGTTTTGTGTTTCAGAAGGATTATTCTGGCTGTGGGGAGTGGGTTATAGAAGACCAGTCCTGGAGGGAGGAAGAACAGTGAGGAGGCTTTTGCAGTTGCCGAGTTGGCAGGTGATAGTGGCTTAGACGGGATAGTGGCAGTTAGAGTTGGAAAGTCAAGAGACTTCAGAGATAGGACTGGCAAGATTTAGGATTGACAGATATGTGGGAGTTGAGGAAGAGGGAGCAGTCAGGGTTGACTCCCAGGTTTCTGCCTTGGGCAAAGGCTGGAGGGGGTGCCATTCATTCACTGTCAAAGGGAACATCAAAGCTGTTGAGCACACAGTAACAGGCACATAGTAAGTACTTGGTGAAGGTTAACTACAATTATTATAAGTTCAGTTTTAGATGTGTAGTGCTGGACAAATATTGAGTAGGGAGTGGGATACATGGATCAAGTGAGATGGTCCTGAGAAGATTCAATGTGATAATGTGCACAGGCATTTGGCACAGTGTCCTAAACATAGTAAGCCCAGTAAACGTGAGTCTTCTCCTCCCATTAAGTCTCATGAGCAGAAAACACCACCATAGTCTGTTTATTACTAACACCTTTCAGGGAAGAACTTCAACTAGGGTTGGCATCTGAAGGGAGAAGGTTAGGTGGCACTCAGAAGAGCTTTCTGATGGCCTGTATATGGCTTGGCTCCTAAGACTAGCAGGGAGCCCTCACCTCTCACAACAACTTCTCGGTTCATGAGCTCATCTCAACTCCATAACTACTCCCTGAGGTAGTCTGGGCAGGCATTATCATTCCCGTTTTACACATGGGTAACCTCAAATTTGAGACACAATGACCTCCTCAAGGTCATACAGTTGGTAATGGTCCACCGTGCCTGGGACTGAGGTCTTCTTGACTCCAAAGCCTGGGATTCTTTCCACTGCACTGCAGTGCAGACTAATTTATTGAACACTTACTAGATGCCAGGCACAGCACCAGACCCTTTGCAAGCATTAACTTCTGATCCTTAAATTGGGATTATCATTGCCATTTTACAGAGAAGTAGAAATTGAGGATGGGGTAGGTGTTAAATGACTTGCCAGATATCACTCAGAAGGGGCACAGCTAGGATTAGCCTGTAGCTCTCCATCCGTTCAGTAGCAGGAATTTTACCAACCTTATTGCGAGACGCTGGTTGCTGACAGAGCTGGTTTATAAACTTTGCTCGATTCAGGTAAACACCATTGGGGGGACTTGTGGGGGTGGGGAAAGGCTGTGCCGCGCCTGCGCGTTAGCCACAGGGGCGGGGAGGTCAACACGAGGGCAGCGGTGCGCCGGTGCGCCGGTGCCAGAGTGGGCGTGTCTGCTTCCCAAACACCCACTGTCCCAATGGTGCACGTCTGTCCCAATGGTGCACGTCTGTCCCAAGGTTGGCCCGTTCGACTTGAGTGGTGGCATGTCTTAACCAATCACCGCAGAACCCGGCCTGTTGCCAGGGTGAAGCTGTGCCCGCCTCTCTACCGGAGGCGGATTTCTGGTGGGTGGAAACGGAAGTGATGCTTCAGGGGCTAGCTAAGCTCTGGGAGTGTTGATGTTTTCCAGTCAGTCCGGCTGACTGGGGCCAAGTTGGAAGCCCGGAAGGGAGGCGATTTAAAAACTCGTGCACGGGGCAGGCCACGCTGTCCTGTTGTAGTGCCCCCGCCTGCGAGTCAGAGCCTCGGGGAGACAAGAGCACGACGGGACCGAGAGGAAAGGCAAGGAACAAGGGTGCCGACTTTGACTGAAATCTGAGACAGAGGGCAAGGGAGGGCAGTCGTTCGCTTCTGATTGGCTCGTGGGCATCATCGAGGACCCACGCAACCGCTTCGATTGGTTGGTGCCCTCAATTGTTGTGGCGGCGGCGAAGATTTTGCCCACGTACTTCCGAGCGAGAGGCGGGGCTGCGCCCCAGCGCGCCTGCGCAACGCCCCGGGCCCCACCCGGTAGTTCAAGAACCAGCGAGGGGGCGGGGCGAAGAGGTGCTTGTTTTGGTTCTGTTTCCTTTGAAGCCGAAGGCCGGAACGAGCATCGCAATAAACTTGCTGGGCTTGGAGAGAAGGCTACGACAAGCTCGCTTCGGTTCCTTCATCTTGGACTTCACATCCGGGTTCTCCGGCCGCGTGACCCGCGCGCCGCCGACGTTCGAGAACCGGTGCCTCGATCTCTTTATCCGGGGCCCGGCGATCCCGTCGTGCTTCGCGCACCACTGTAGCCCCCCTCATCCGGGTCCTCTCCCGGCGTGCCCCGCGCCGAGTTTGGTGGGGGGTACTCGGCGGTGCCGCCATGACTATTCTCCCCAAAAAGAAACCGCCGCCTCCCGACGCCGACCCCGCCAACGAGCCGCCGCCGCCCGGGCCGCTGCCCCCGGCGCCTCGCCGCGGCGGGGGTGTAGGCGTGGGCGGCGGCGGCACGGGTGTGGGCGGCAGCGATCGCGACCGTGACTCGGGAGTCGGCGCCCGTCCTCGAGCCTCGCCACCGCCTCAGGGCCCGCTCCCGGGGCCACCGGGTGCCCTCCATCGCTGGGCGCTGGCCGTGCAGCCTGGCGCCGTGGCGGGACCCCGGCCACAGCAGGCCTCTCCTCCTCCTTGCGGGGGCCCCGGCGGTCCCGGCGGCGGTCCCGGTGACGCGTTGGGTGCCACAGCAACAGGCGTGGGCGCGGCGGGCGTGGTGGTGGGCGTGGGCAGTGCCGTGGGCGTGGGCGGCTGCTGCTCTGGGCCGGGTCACAGCAAGCGGCGGCGTCAAGCCCCTGGGGTTGGCGCGGTTGGCGGGGCCAGTCCTGAGCGTGAGGAGGTCGGCGCAGGTTACAACAGTGAGGATGAGTATGAAGCGGCTGCAGCGCGCATCGAGGCCATGGACCCCGCCACCGTCGAGCAGGTATGGGCGGGGGGTGACGGGTGACTGGGTGTGGTGGACGGGATGCCCAGACTGCGTAGGGACCCAAGGAAGGCTATTTGAGATCGCTCCAAGGGGCCTTTGTCTTCTCTCTGAGCCTGGCACTCTTTTCTCTGGTAGTGGGGGTGTGAGAGACCCTATTTCCCCCGCCAAGGACTTGGGGTTAGAGGCCCCAGATAAGATGGAAGACTTAAAAGTGGGTTCTGTGATGTCTTCTAGGGCCGTAGTTGTCATTCTGGGCCCAG